AGCCGCCATGCTCTGACCTCAGTCCCAGCTCATCGTAGCGATCATGTGTACACCCCTCTACTCATTGCACAAGCATACAGCTGTGCACAGCTTTTCTTTTTTTTTATCCTCCTTATTGCCTCGGCTCTCTAATTTGATTTTCGGATCAGCTGCTGCTATAGGTCACTGCTGTTTTTTCCCGGTGTAGAGATTTTAAAGGCCTGAGGTATGGAAAAGGAGTGGATGTTAGGTGAGGTGGGCAAGGATGAACCCCCCCTGACAATCCTCCCTCCCCTTCACCCACCCCACACCCCCTCCACCTGCCTCGGGTCTGCGCGTCTCTCAAGGCCAAATTAAAAGCCTTGGCAACTTGCATTCACATTCAATTAAAAGCTCCCCCTCTGTGGCCGCGCAGAAACAGCTGCACAGACTCCGTGCTGTCTGTTCCCCTCAGTTGTTGTCGAGAAGGCCACGGCGGCTCTTCTTCCGTCACAATTTTACACCCCCCTGACACACACACACACACAGGCATTAGACACCAAGAGAAAACAGCCAAGATAGCACGGGGCAAAAATCACATCCAAATGTTTACATGAGAGGCGGTGTCCCTGTTTCATCATCCCCTTATCGCGCCAGCAAAATGAGGCACAATTACAGAAACGATAACACGGCCGGGACAAGGAGCAGGAAAGAGAAAGGAAGTGAGTAATAGCTTGTAAACAGATCCTCTCCTGCCGGGCGCTCTTTTGATGGGAAAAGATGGTGCACCTCAGTGAATGAGACTGTCCGCAATTATGCCTTATTTGCATGCATACAGGAGGCTAAGGTTTTGGATTTAGAGGTGGGAACTTTTGCGTTGTAACATCAATGCACCGACTTATGAATAGAACTCTTTAATTCCTGAGGTTTGTTTTTCATGCACCCAGTCAAGTTTAATGTTGGGTGGTCGTATCTTTCTCAGCAAGCGGTGAGGCGGCGGGGGGACGGCAGTGCGGTCGGCGAAGGAACTTCCACAAGTTCCTCGTCGGCTGGCTGGCTGCGAGGGCCGAGGCGTCACGTCTGATCCAGCCTAAATTTAAACCTGTGGACAGACGAGTCTAGCCAGCAGCCAGCCTCATTCCAGCCACTGATCACGGAGAGACAAAGACAGACAGAGAGAGACGACCTCAGGCCTTTTAAGTCCGTCTTCCCACACCTCTCATTCCCTCCCCTGGTCTCCTTCACCTCCTTCATCTGTTTTTTTTCTTCTGCTTTCTTTAAACTCCTGCTTTGATACGATACCTTACAATATCTCCAACCTCACCGACCCTCTACCAGCGGGTGAGACACTTGTGTATATATCAGAGTACTTAAAGTATCGCTGAGGTGAAATATAGTGGAACCGACAGGCTTCGCTTGCTATTCAGTCCCTTCTGGACTTTTCTTTTTGCTTTGAAAACTTGTCAGGTTTAATTAATTATTCACAAAATTCTCCAACGGTCACATCTGGCTTCTTTCAGCTACTGATGGATGTGACACCAGAGCGACTTAATTTGAAGCAAAGCTGTTTTTCTTTGTTGTGATGGGCACAGTGAAATGATGTGATGTTCCCAGTTTAAACTGCACTGGAAGTGGTGTGTTTTTTGGAAGTGGTGTGTTTTTAATAGTGTTTAACTCAACAATTAGTTTGTCTGGAACAGAAGTAAATAAAACGGGAAGAGGCAGAAGTGTTTGACACTGTGCCTGGAGAGCAAATAGACTGGTACACGTTTGGAAAAACTACAAGGGCTGAAAAATGAAGCCAAGTTAGATTTGGTGAAAGCGGCAATTCCTCTGATGACCACTTGGGGCCGGCTCCAGAAGTGAGTCAATCCCCATAAGCTACCATGCTAAAACGGCCAACTTAAAAGTATAAATTAACACATTTAAGGACTGGTCAAATCAAACTTTGCTCTCTATAGCTAGATTAAGCATTTATAATCACTGTACAGTAAGTGAATATTTTCAGAACCCAAATATTTGTATGTTTATGACCAAAATTAGCGGAACAGCTTTACTAACTGGCAGTTTTGCTATGCTAGGCATGCTAGGCTTCCACCTCTGCTAATTTGTGTCACAGAACTGGACCGCTTGTTTAGGTTTTTGGCGCTTTGCAACAATTTGATATGTCCTGTCCAGAAACCAGTGGTTAATCTCACATTTGCTGTTTCTGTCATTCTAAAACAATCTATGATGATATCTAAAGAAAATCCAACAATCAGGCTTTTTACCTTTTATTCTGCTGGGTAAGTAGACACAAACGTCTTCAGGGTTATAATAATAGCGGTCTGTTGATCTGTTTCATGTTCCCTCATGTACTTGTGCTGCTTCTCCTTATCGCTTCTCTGAACTCACCGGCTCTTCAGATCATGTAATAGATGGGAGAGTTGAGACAGTCTTGGTGGAGGACTGGAAAATGCTCAGAAAGGCAGATGTTCGCTGAAACAGTGCTTCTATTATGCTACATGTGTCTGCGTGGTTTTATTGCCACGTTGAGAATCAGTCTGCTGCTCATGTTATGATGGAAAAAGGGCTTTGAGTGTATATGCTCGCATGTGCCTCGTAGCCTCAAAGGCGAGACATTTGAACACAGTTTCACATGGTTTGCGCTTTCCAGGGCTGAGCTAAGTCGGTGAAGAAGCACCAGTCGGAAGATGAGCAGATCCCCCGAAAGCTCCCCTACATGGGCTGCCTTTATAGGTTAAAAGTATCGATATCGGCGGGTAAATAAGTACCGCACAGCCCTACTCTCCACTCTGGCTCTGTCCACCTTCCTTCCTTCCCTCCTTCCTTTCTTCCTTCCTTCTTTTTATCTCTCTGTCTTTCCGTTTATCCTGTTTCTCTCTCGCTCTCTCATTCGCTCTCTCTTGCTTCATTCTTCTCCTCCCTGTAATCAGGGCCCTTTGAAGTGGGCCGAGGAGACGGATTAGAGTGGGACCTGCAGGGTCTTTGACCGGGGGTGAGCCGGGGACGAGTAATTAGACGGGGAATTAAGAGGAAGCCCAGCCCCTCGCTCTGTTTCTCTCATGGATTGTACGCCTGCTGCATTGGAAACCGCCTTCTCTGTTTTTGTGGAATTGTTTTTACCATTTTGCATTCGTAATGTTGAATTAAAGGAGAAAATGGTGGTGTCTTAGCAACATAATTGGTTTTTTTTGGCAAAGGGAGTCAACGGAAGAAGCCGTAAACACAGAATTGACATTTTATCGGCCTATAAAATTTGATATTGGCCACATGTTCAATCTTTGCTCTCCTTTTAAATCATGCTCAGGTCTCTCAACAAGTCCTCAGAGACAGCTGCTTACTCTTGCAGCTACTACATCTGCAGTGGCTTGGTTAGTGTCGCAGAGCTTGGTTGCTGAAAAACAAAAATAATTTCGGCTTCATTACACACTTCATTTCCGGTGGCTGTGGCTCAGGAGGTAGAGCAGGCTGGTGGTTCGGATCCCCAGCTGCTCCAGTCTGCCTGCCCGAGTATCCTTGGGCAAGATACTGAACCCTGCGTTTATCAGGGGGTGAATGTATGTGTGAATGTGTGATACAATGCTTTGAGTGTTCAAGTAGACTACAAAACCGCACCACACAGAGCACAAGCCCCGCCCACCTTCTGTTTATGAGAATCAACCAGTTACCCAAAAAACTGGCTTAAGGAGACGTGCACCAGCTGGTTTATTCCTCTTTTCCACCAGCACCTACCAGCTCTACTCTACTCTACTCTATTTCAATTGTGTACCACCTCAATATGGGTGTGGTCATTATAGCAAGGTGGACCGAATGCCATGTGACGTTTATTTGTATGCAACACAACACAACAATAGAGGACATTAAAGCAACCTGCTACTCGGTCTATAGCTTTTTGTCAGACTTGACGTTAAAAAAAAAAAAAGTAGTAAAAATAGTTCAGAATACCTATAATTGTAGCAGATGGTTGCATTCAGTTAAGTTGGACTAGACTGTAATACAAACCGTTCAGTTTGTCAACAATAAAACTGACTGGATTGAGAGACTGAGTGTGAGACTTTGATATTAGATAAAATGAATATTGATAAAGTTTACCTTTATGTACAGAATCTGAATATTGCAAAATATTTTTAAAAAATTGCAATAATATCGTATCGTGCATTAAGTATTGTGATAATATCGTATCGTGGGATGTATGGCGATTCCCACCTCTACCAGTCAATGGCATGAAGTCTGACGTCACAGTTTCTGGTTTGACTCAGCTCGCTTGAAACATCGGCCGAGTCGGTACTATAAAAGTACCTGGTACCAGATATTACCCCCTAATAGGAAACCCTAAAAACCGAGTAGAGCCGAGCCCAGTCAATGGTAATGGAAAATAGACTTCAGACAGATAAACTCTGCTCAGAGAAAGACTTACAGTACATGGAGTTAGAAGTGAGCGTAGCAGGCAATCTTTAATGACCTTTAATGTAACTAGAATGGAGGATGTAAGCGATAGGAGCAATATCTGTCCTTTCAAATAGTGCATTACTACCTGTAGAAAACTATTAGTAGTAATTCTCTGTGGATAACAAGAGCAGGAATAGAAGTGATTGAAGTCATAATGTTGGCAGTATCAGTGTAATTGTTGTGGTGCAGTGGTTTTATGACAGTAGTGGTGTCAAAAAGCATTATGGGCAACCATCACTTTAGCAGCAACAATAGTGTTTGGCAGCAGTTTTTATTTGTGTTTATTATGCTTCTGTGGCCTGTGGTGACTGTGTGGACAGCTTTGTTGAAGATGAGAGTGGAGAGAGTGGCGGGGGGATTTGTGCCCATCACCCCAACCAGCTGAGACCAGGCACTGTATTATTAAACAGAGACCGTCTAGGAGAGCGCCCACGTGGCCAAATATGGACATCCAGTCATCCTCGGTCTCTGTGAGGGGAAAGAGGAATGAACCCAATCCAACTGGCCAACAAGTGACATGAACCCTCTGTGCTAAAGAAATCCACTAAACATGATCTGTCTCTGTCTCTTTTTTTTCTTTTTCTCTGCAGGTAAGAAAGACTTTTCAGTGCTACAGAAACCTTTGTGATCTGCAAAGTAAGTAAAAAAGAAAGTCAACAATTTTAGGTTCTCTATCCTTTCTCTCCTGCTTACTTCCTGACATCCCTTTCCTGGATGCGTCTTTATTTGGTGTGTGTGTGTGCGTGTGCGTGTGTGTGTACGTAGGTGTGCGTGTGTGTGATATCCCCAGGGTACCTATTGTTGTGACAGGCTCTTGACTTGAGCAGCGTTAGAAGATAATGCATAAATTGTGATCTGGGAGCTCTCATTCCTGTAGCCTGTGTCATGCTAATAATGCAGCGCGTCAGTCAAATCTGGCCGCTGATTGCAGGCGTGAGCCGATGCTATCTCTCTCCCTTCTACCACAGTGCAGGCGCCACAAAAGGAGGCACTTACTGTTGGCAGTTCAGCGCCAGGAGGGAGAGTATTGGCTGTGTGATAATAGCGACTTAACCTGTATTGACTCAGTCCTTTGCATAATCCCAGCACTAAGAGAGTAAGTTCCGGTCGCAAGTGGCAATTTGAACAGATGAGCGACATTTGGTCGCTTCTTCAAAAAGCTAATGGTGAGCATTACTCTAGACCGGGGGTTTCAAACATAGGGCCCAGGGGCCATAATTGGACTGGCAAAGACTCCAATCCGGCTCCACTGGGCGGTCTTGTGAAATGTAAAGGAGGGCGTACACTTTTTGGACTTTTAACTGTATTTTTATAACTTTCACTGCTTATTTGTTTACCGATAAAGACCTCCCCATGGCTATTGATACAGCTTCAAAATAATTAAGTAACACTTTTTTTTTAATCTACTATCGAAATTTATGACTTTTAAAATAGATCCCCAGTGAAGAAATAGGACTCTTTTTGATAATTGACAAAAACTTCTTGTTTTATAATTACAGGAGTAAGCCAACAGACCCTTTTCTGTGATTTTACAAGTTTATTTGTTACAGTTTAAGCTCAAGGAGTCATGCTTACTTCTTTCATTTACTACATCAGCATTTCTTTATCGTGTAGAAAAACTGAGACATACTGTTGAGATTGCACCTCCTTTCCTTCTAATTAGATATCTCAGGGATTCAATGTGTAGTTAAACTTCTTTACACTGACAGAAAGGGGAGTTTCACTGGTCTGGCCCACTTAAGATCAAAGTGGGCCGTATGTGGCCCACGTTGCAAAATGAGTTTGACATCCCTCCTCTAGACGAAAGAGAATATCTGCAAGAATATCTAAAGGAAAAAAAAAAGACGGATGGAGTGGAAAGGGAGTCTCGAGGGGAGGGCGTGGGAGTTTCGCGATACTGGACCGCTGAGAATCTCAGACTCAAACACACCTCCCACGCAAACACATAAACACTCACAGGTACGCACTTCTTCTTAAGCCCATGGCTCCTGCTTACATAACCCACCTGCCTTTCCTTGACCTCAGCCACATCCTGGGAGCAACAGGGAGTGGAGGAGGGGTGTAAGGCGGAGGTGGGGGCTGTTAAAGATAAGAGTGTTTACTCTAACTTTGTAGGGAAGTTGTAGACACACTGATCACGTAGAATGAACAAAGTCAACAATAGATTTTTCTTTTTTTTTAATGCTTTTTTTTGCTGCTGTGTTTTTATCGACGGATCGAATCGCTGTTAAAGAAAATGGGAAGCAAAGAAACAAAACAGAGGATGATTGTAAAGATGTCTGTATATTACACAGATGTTATTCTGAGTTGAAGTTTTGTTCGGTGCAGTAGCGTGTCTTCAGAGGACAAGAGTGAAAAAGAATCCGTTAGGAAACTGGCATTAAAAAAAGTTTGCGGTGCACAGTAGTGACGTGGAGGTGTGTCGCTTAAACCTCAAGAGCAGGAGCGGAAATTACGGCTTGGCTATAACACGTCTTTAGGGTGCCAAGTACAGGAGCAGCAGCAGTGCACTTGTGCTGTAAAGAACCCTTCGAGGTCCATCGCTTTAACCTCTGATTTTCACCACATTTCAAACCCGCTGACCTCTCCTCACGATCAAACCCTATCCTTGCGTTGCCTCCAATAACTGACATCATCACTGTTTTGCCCATTAGCTTCGCTTTTCTTGAGAAGAAACAGCTGCGTCACCCAGAGACCGTGTTGAGGGTGTATTTCGGTTCCTCGGTTAAAAAGAACATTTGAACTCGGGTTCCTCGCGCAGGCAGCCAAGCCGAACGCCGGGGCTGGGGAACGGAGCGTGTTGTGCAGTTTCGCATTCAACCTCATTTCCCTTCCAAACCTTCATCCACTTTGGCCAGACCACACATCCTTAAACGTCGATAGTTCTGCTGGGTTGCTCATATCCTCCCTGAACACACAACCACACAGTCACGACCTCAGATAGGGATCACATTCAGCCTCGCTTGGCTGCTAACTACCCTCAGTCGCATTTAGGGTTTACAACCGAGCTGAGCTTGAGGTACCCCTCAGTATTTATAAACACCGATCGCATTTGCTCAATGAAAAGATCGGAAATTAGTATATTTCTAAGAAGGTCAACAGAAGCACGTCTGACAAGTACGTTGAATTTGCACAGCGTGTTCTGAACTCGTGCTGTTTATGCGGTTTGCTGTTGGCTGGGCTGCCAGTGGAAATGCAGAGCGGATGGGGTTGAGCAGGAGGTTACAAAGGGCTGCCGCTGCGGCCGTAATAGATCATGTGGGCAGTCGGTAGAGAGCAACCGGGCTCTTCTACCGCTGATACATCCGAGGCCTGTTTTGGGCCCTTCTGTGCAGAGAATGAAAGTGCCTGTCAAGGGCACGGACAGAGATCCTGCTGATGTCTTAGATGTCCTTATGATGCGAAAAATGTCAAAAACAGATGGGAGTATTCACTTTCAGATAAAAGACACAACAATGTCTTCCTCGCTGGCGTTAGAGATCCATTCTGCTCACAGTGGGGCCGTACATGCGGAGCAAGTCACTGTTTGTTATTAGATGGTGATGCGAGAGGTGGAAGGGTAGTGGGTGATGTGCCGTGTGATGCAGAGAGGTGCAAATAAGCTTTGTCTTACTGTTCCACACCCCCCATGTCCCCATCGCTGCCATGCTATCAGTGCCATCTGCTGCTCTGATTGCGCTTCATCTACATTACCACTGACTAAGTGGCTGGCAGCCCTTCCTCTCTCCTCTGGGTGATCTCTGTGAGCATGTGTTCTTCATCAGCTTCCCGCTTTTCACCTATTGTGTTCTTTTTCTTCCTTTTTATTATCCGTCTCTCTCTCTCTCTCTCTCAAAAAAAAGGCCTCATGTGGGATGCAATCTGCAGATGGAGGCAGTGAAGAGGGTTTGAGATCAGCTGATGACTTTCCCCGGGGGTCATGAGTACATGACTTGTAGCTCTGGCACATGATGAGCTAGCAGCTCCAGCCTATCAGGGCGAATGATGGCAGAGCCTTGGCATCAGCGCTTCTGG